ACTCAGACAACTACAGCTCATTCAGAACTCTGCTGCTCGAGTCCTCACTAAGACCAAAAAGTGGACCACATCAGTCCAGCTCTGAGGTCTTTACACTGGCTGCCTGTCCGTCAGAGGATAGACTTTAAAGTTCTGATGCTGGCCTATAAAGCTCTGAATGGTTTAGGACCAAAATACATCAGTGACCTCCTGACCCAGTATGAACCTTCCAGATCCCTCAGGTCATCTGGATCCGGTCTTTTATCAGTTCCCAGAGTCAGAACCAGACACGGAGAAGCTGCATTCAGCTTTTATGCTCCTTATATCTGGAACAAACTCCCAGAAAGCCTCAGATCAGCTGAAACACTCAGTTTATTTAAATCCAGGTTGAAGACTCACCTGTTCTCAGCTGCATTTTAAGCCAAATCCATAAGCTAACAAATAACTCTGTTACTTTTACTGATTAATACTGTTGTTTTAGCTAATCAAACTTACTTACATGACTCTCTGAATGTTATTTTTATACGTTGTATTATTAAGCTAATTCAACTACATTAACTACTGATCTTATCTATTTCTGATTTTATCTGTTTTGATTTTATATACTGTTTTGTTTGTTTGTTTTAATCAATTTTAAATCATGCTTTTTATTTTTGTTTCTAATGTCTCTGTAAAGCACTTTGAATCACCTTGTTGTTGAATTGTGCTGTACAAATAAACTTGCCTAGTCTCTTTAGAAAACGTAAATTCAAGTTAATTTGTCTTCTTTGTCTCATTTAGGTTTTCAATGCATTTTCCAGCATCAGCTGACAAGAACAAGTCTAACTGCAAAGTGTAAAGCATCAAATTCCCCCTGTTAAAAATGGACTTTCCTGTGCTTCTAGTTTCTAGCTAGGACATTTCTGCCATTTTGTACCACTGAAGATATTTTTATTGATGGGTTTGTATTTCAGGTCCATGCTTCCAACTCACGTTAGTCTGGATGAAGTCCCAGGCCTGCTCTGTGATTGAACTGTTCCCAGAGTATTTGTCCAGTACCTTAGTGATGACCTTGGAGATCTGCTCGTTGACCTGAAAGACAGCAGGCTGCCAGAGTTGGTGAAACATGTATTACCATAAACATATAGGCAGTGTAATATGCCCACACTGTATCCATGTTTGAGCCAATGTGTCTCTTTTGTGTCTTCTTTTTGTGAATATATTGTTGGATGGATACCATTCAAATGAACTAAATTAAAACGCCCTCACTACATGCTATGCCAGACGCTAAGTAAAATAAAAATTTCTCAATGTGGCATGTTTTAAATCTTATTAATTAGAAGGACTATGTGAGTTTTTGTCAATCATAACAACAATATTTACAGCCCATCGTATCTTCATTTAAAATATGATGACTAACATATTGTGTAGGTCTTTCTTGGAAATATTACAGTTCATTTGCAAGAAAGTACAAAAAAGGTTCTTCTGAAAATAATTGGAAAACATAGCTATACTTATTTTACACAAGTTTAAAAAGTTTATGAATGCAAAAAGACAAAAGAAAAAAGAGAAGGACTGTAGGAGCAGTCAGCTTCTTCAGGTCAGCAGATGTTTTATCTCAAAATAAGCCTCTTTTTTTTGTTCAGGCTGAACAGCAGACATTTGCATCCAAACTTTTCACCAGAATTTATATTAGTTTACACTCTTTGCTAACAGAATACAGTTTTGCTCCTGCACCCTACGAGCCTCTGCCAGCACAAATGAACCTGCTGCTAGTTGATCAGAGACATCGAAAAAGGCCAACCGAAGACCGGACAGTCCTGATCCTCAAGGACCCCCAGAAAGGGCCGGTCCCATCCAACTACCAGTCTCAATAACCTGCTTCAGCACCACATGGAAGCTCCTGTCAGGCATCATAGTGGCTAAGATGAACAGGCACATGGCTCAATACATGAGCGGGGCATAGAAAGGAAATGGCAAGAATACCAGAGGCGCGAAACACCAGCAACTGGTAGACCGAGCAGTTACCCAAGACTGCAAAACCAGACTGACCAACCTGTGCACTGCCTGGATTGTTACAAGAAGGCCTATGACTCAATGCCCCACAGCTGGATACTGGAATGACCTAATTGTACAAGAGCGAATGGAACCCTAAGAGGCTTCAGGAACTCAATGGGGATGTGGCGTACAACACTAGAGGCCAACTCCAAGCCCATAGCACAAGTCACCATCAAGTGCGGGATCTACCAAGGAGATGCTCTGTCCCCACTGCTGTTCTGCATAGGCCTGAACCCCCTCAGTGAGATCATTAACAAGACTGCTACGGATACCGACTTCGGAGCAATCATCAGCCACCGGCTTCCTGGATGACAAAAAGCTGTATGCCAAGAGAGAGACATGGATTCGCTGATCCACACCACCAGGATATACCGCAACGACATTGCAATGTCATTCGGACCGGAGAAGTGTACTTGGATGATAACAAAGAGAGGGAAGGTAGTCAGAATTGAGGGGATCGAACTACCAGAAGGCAACAAAAAGCGCCTTGAGGTGACTGTTGTTGTGATTTGGCGCTACATAAATAAAATTGAATGGAACTGAACATTACAGACATTGAGGACAGCTACAAGTTCCAACAGGCAAATGGGAACCATGAAGCTCCCCCTAGAAAAGCTGCAGTCACCAAGTACCTGCAGAGGACCAGGCAAAAGAACAAGATCCAGGCTATCTACACCTACACCCTGTGGGGTTAGGTTAATTGGTGATTCTTAATTGCCCATAGGTGTGAATGTGAGTGGTGCCTGCTCTGTCATGTGTCTGTCCTTTGACCCTGTGTCACAATGCAGCTGGATATTGTCGATGAATCCGATTGATCGTCAACAAAAGTTATAATAATACCAGCAAAACCAGGCTGAATCGTAGCAAAAGTACAATTCTGACTTATAGTGCAAAGTCGTATAGTGAAAGAATGTCGTGAGCGTTCATATCAGTCTAAGCTGACGCGGCCAATTTGAAGAGTTACTTCATCGAATCCATAATCATGGAGATCAACCATGACCCTGATGCTTCTGGAAGGTTATTGGTCGGTCCAATTGGTAGTACCTGCCCCTTATCATCGATCCGAGGTCAATGCCAGATGTGAGGGCTTAAGGCGCTGGAAGGGCAAACGGAAGATAAAGTTGTGTCTACCCCTTCAAGATGGGCTACTGGCATAATGCTTTACCTCTTCAATCTGTTTCTGTAATTGACATGCACCTGAGAGTGTTTATCCTTATGCGTGGACGCTGACTGCGTAGGCTTTGTTGTGCCAAAAGTAATCAAATTACACTAACTGCGTGGACCACACCGTTCACACTGGTCAGGTTGTCTTGGGGATACCCTAGTATATTGGGACCCCATGACCTAGAATAACTCTCGATGAATGAAACGTCTCGCACTAAAGATCAGCGCTTTTCTTTGCAAGCTCCTTTGACTACTGAATGAAATGCACTCAAAGTAAAAAAGTAACTCTTTCGAGGACGTTTTTTAAACAGCTTATTTGTGTAAAGTTAACTGAACCTGTTACGTTAATGTAATAACAAAATAGCAAGTGGGAATACAAACTTTATTTTAGTCAGAGTTTTTTATTCTAATTGTCCTCAGCTTGAACCATTAATGAATGAGCAGAGAAAAAGAAGGAAAATAAAATCTAATCTATTTTCTGTTGCCTACATTGTAGAGGGTGACTTTGCTTCTAAACAGGAAAATGAGTACAGGGTTAAAGTGGGATACAGCAGGTGGGGGAACCCTAAAACTGATTGTAATGGCTCAGTGTGGGGAAAACAACTCATAACTGACGATCATTTCTAATGTGAGCTCCAGTAAACTCTTGGCTCTGACGGAGGCGGTCGCATCTTTCCCCGTGTCCTTCACCCTCTGACCACCACCAGTAGGCAAACACGGGGTTAGTATCTTGCCCAAGGATATTTGGCATGCAGCCAGGAGGCAGCCTGGGATCGAACCACCGACCTTCTGATTAGTGGCTGACCTGCTCTGCCACCTGAGCTACAGCCACCCAAATAACTCATAGCAGGAAGGAGGTTTGGCCTGGACTTGAGCAGCAGACAGTGGCTGAGAAGACCTTCCAACAGAAGTTCAGATACAGTAAAAGCTGACGTCCTTTTTCTTGTAGTGTTCTGCTTTCATTTGTCTGTGTGAACACAATCTCCTGGCTCTCTGAGCAAAAGTATAAAACGCTTTGACACCCAGTACCCAGCTCGTATTTGGCAAAAGGACTGACTTTGCAGTTGATATAAACTAAAGAAAACCTCAACCCTCATCTCTCAAAATAAACCAAGAAAAAACAAATAGTAAACACTTTAAAAACTATTCTTAACCATGAAGCTTTCACTGTGTTTTACTTCTGGCTGAAATACCTCAAACTAAATAACTAAGTCTGAACACTGTCACTGCTACTGTAGATTTTTTTCTTTGCATGGTGGGTACATTTATCACAGCATGTGGATGAACTCAAGCTTGCAATATTTGAAATGCCATCACTCACCACATCCTTCTGAAAGTAGATGAGGGCACCAGCTGCAAACTGAGTGATGAGGATGAGCAGGATGACGCTGAAGTACTGAGGAGGATCACAGAGAACAGTGAATACAAAAATTTAGGGGCATGTGAACAGCTGTATAAATAAAACTGAATTGAATTAAATTGAAATTGAACAGTCAGACCCACCTCTATATGTTAGTTAGTGGTACATACACAAGCATATCCCTCTATTATGTTTTACTGTTGTCAAGAGGGAGAGCTGCAAATAAACTCCATATCCAAATGCAGTTTTCCCCAGGCTGCCAGCCGTGCCAGCGCCATCTTACCCTCCGACCATACATACATTACACAAACATCACATGGGGAAGACAGGTCAGAGAGGTATAGCAAAGGAAACACACGAGGAAAGACGAGGAGAAGAAAGAACTCCCCCCAGACTGAGCTCCAACAGGGAGGTCAGTTTGAGAACAGAAAAAGAGAGAAAGTGTCCCTTCACCCAGTTAAGCAAAAGTCAACAATCTTCGATCAACGCGGACGGCCTTGAAGGAGGAACAAAGAGTTCTGACAACAATCCTGTTATCATGGAGATTTTTGTTGTTCCAGTCAGCTTAGACCTTGGCAGGCCTTCAGCTGGCGCCAGTGGGATAGCCGCATGAGTGAAGATGAATGATTTGGGTTTAGTGCAAACAACTGCATCCAATTTTTACAATTGGTCTAATGTCCGTCACTGGTCACCAATTCTCTCAATTCCCGTTGTTCTTCTCCAAGATCTTATCTATATTGCGTTCAAAACACGGTCTGAGTACTCACAGCCCTGCCAACCGTCTGTCATGTCAGCCAGCCTTGTGGGATTTTAAACAGCTGTAGCCGCTTCTTGTTCTTCGATAAGCTGGGTCTGAGCCAGCTCCAATCAGCCAGAACTCTGTTATCATGGTTCCGAATTGGTAGATGTCATTCAGTGTCCTCCATCGAGAGCGTCACCAGACACACGACGCAACCGACCATCAAGTATCCGGCAGCAAACGTCTCCGCAGGACACTCGGGCTCTCCCAAGCCCAGGAAGGTGTCAATTCCGTTACGGGACCAGTTGATCAAATCCATAATTCTTTAGGTTTTAGAGAACAAGACTGAGAAACTCTTTGAGGGTTAGAGAATAGGCAAGACTATACAAAAGATGAGAAGCCAAGCAGGAAAGATAAGGGAGAGGGAGAAGGAGAAACGTGTGACCGCCTCCGTCAAGAGCCAAGAGAGAAAAGAGAGCTCAGAGAGAGCTTTTGTGCTCAGAGCTGTTTGTTTGTTGGTCTGAGGCAGCCATTCCCCAAGTTAAGAGCGCTGTGGCTCACTTTAAAAAAACAGAATATGAAGATAAAAAGTCTTTTCCTCCTTCCTGGTTTTTTGGTTTTTTTTAAATATATTGTTAAATTTCAGATCCATCCATCTATGCAACCATGTTTTAAATGTTTGATTTTTAATGGCAACAAAAACTAAAATTAAGTATTTGTGATAATTGGCAATGTGTGTTTCACATCATTGGGAAGGAATTCTGGCCCACTCTTTGCAGAATTATTTTAATTCAGCCCTGCTGGGGTTTTCAAACATGAACAGCTTGCTGAAAGTCCTGCCAGTGCATCTCAAGCTGATTCAAGTCCAGATTCTAACTTCAGAGGTGAACCTGCTGGTGTGCTTTGACTCATTATCCTAACCCAAGAGCACTTGAACATCCTGTCATTCTCCTTCAGAATTTTCTGGTAGAGACCAAAACTCATGGTTCCATCGATTATGACAAGTCACCCAGCTCCTGAAGCTGCAAAGCAGAACACCGCACTACCACCACCACGTTTGACTCTGGCATAATATTCTTTTTGTGCAACACTGTGTTAGTAACCAGATACCAGATGTAACACCAGTTGTAACAGGACACAAACCTTCAGTCCAGAGAATATTTTCCCCCAAAATGTTGGGATCGAGATGTTTTTTTGACAAATACACTTTTGTGTTCTTTTTGCTCAGCAGCGCTTTTCGCCTTGGAACTCTCACGTGAAAGCATTTTTTGCCCAGCCTCTTTCTCACTGTTGAATCACAAATGATGAATAACTGACCAAATGAGGCCCTATTTATTTCCCCTAATAAATGAAATGACAATTTTGAATTTATTCAGGTTATATTTGTCTTATATATAAGATATATTTAGTTTTATAATCTGAAACATTTAAATATCACAAATAGATGGAAAAAAAAAAAAGAAATCAGAAAGGGGGAAAAACTTTTGACAGTATTGTAAATAAATGATGTACAAAATCTGCTTATTGACAAAGTCTCCTATCATCAAGAAGAATTGGCTGTGTGAAGCCTCAATCACTACTTTCACAACACTTAGAAGAAACATTGTAGAGATGCTAGAAAAAAAGCCACAAAAATTTACAGTGGACTGCTGAACACTGGATAACAACGGTACTGATAAAAGGGCACAAGTGCTCACTGGAAAACACGGTGGCATGTTTCAAGTATGCAAGACACTAACCCAGGTTTAGCCTTACTCTGGCCTGGGTGTAGCTGCTGAATGATGATATTGGATAAAATGGAAGTTGGTAGATAGTTTGGTAAGCGCACGTGCAGATACCAAAGTCCAGATCTCACTGTTTTGATGTCCTTTCTGTTTGTTTCTCTTCAGCTATCTTCTACCTTGTCTCCCTCAGTAATGTATTTGCAGCTATTACTCCACAAGGGTGTGATGCGCAATCTCCTCTCAATAGCTAATGCCAAGTTGTGTCTTCTATTTGAACTCTGGGAAACACTGATGTGAACTTCTCTCCAGGTGATGGAACCTCCCTTCCAGGTGAATTGTCAACATATCGTTTGATGTGTTTCTCTGTGTGAACTCGTACACACTTTTATTGTTGTGGAAATCTTCTGGACTTAAAGTACTGCGATTAGCTGAACTGTTCTTTCCAAAACAAAACGTTGCATTAGTTGAATAGGCTCTTAAAGTAACACAGCTAATGGTCTTCAGTAGTGGTGCAACGGATCACGGTTGATCCATAATCCGAACCGATCCCACTCCACGGTTCGGTACGCACGTGATCCGAAGATTCGAAAAAGAAGGGAAAAAAGTATGTGTATGGTGCGCGTGGTGGGTCTGTCAAGCGGTAGCGCTAGCGGTCCAAGTGGAGGAGCAGAGGAGGTTGCGGCATTTAAGCAGCCCTTTGCTGCCAATCCGACCGGGCTAAAGCTGTTACAGAAGCTACTGGGGTGTTAGCTGCAGACGGGAGGCCGTATACTGTTGTGTAAAACAAGGGGTTTAAACTGTGATGAACGTGCTTGAGCCACGCTATGATATCTCGTTGTGCGTCCACTTCCGTGACAAGATCGTTCCAAGCATGTATGAGCAGGAGAAGTTTAAAGTTATGGCTGAACTGTCCCAGGCATCTTCTGTTGCCCTAACTACAAATGGGTGGACCTCCAGGGCAACGGAAAGCTACGTGACCGTGGCCGCTCGTTATATCACAGCGGAGTGGTAGATACAAAGCCCTGTACTGTATTGCATGGATTGAGTCTTGAGTTGAATGTTTTTAACAGGCAAAAAATACTTAAATAAGTTAATAAGTTATGTTAAGTTTGCTGATCCGAAAATTGATCCGATCCATGACTTAAAACAGTGATCCGATCCGAACCGTGAGATTTTTGATCCGTTGCACCACTAGTCTTCAGTAAGGATGCAAAAGTTAACTATTGACAGGAAAACCTTTACATCATTTATATTTTTTCATTATCATGTCTAAATGGGGACGGTACACACACATACTCACCAGGCTCAGCAGAGAGCGGACCTCATAAATGGCCCCCAAGCAACCGAAGAAGCTTATGAGAATGGGGAAAGCTCCAACTCCTATCAAAATGTAGCATGCCAACTTCACATCTGTGGAGTTTTCTGAGGATCAGCAACAGAGAGCTCAGGTTACAAACTGCAAGCTGTCAGAGCGTGTGACTATGGCTACCATACTGTTAGGATATACATTATGCTTTTTGTTTAAGTAGCAAAGCACATTGGTCACACATGCATGTTTGAGTTGTAACTTGTTTCTAAGGCGATTTCATCACAGTGGTAAGTTTACATTATTCAACTATAACCAAGCAACGTGATCAAATGTCAGACTGAATTTAAGAATGTTACAGCTGACCTACCAGATCCCGACATCCATGGATTGGAATTACACAGTAATTGTGTAAATGTTCAGAAAATAATCTAAGAGACTTTCGATCTTTCTAAGCCCCATTAATTAAACAAAACAAAAAGAGTGAGACAAGAGTTAGTACTTTCCCAGTCATCCTAAATCTAGCTGTAGGGAGTTATACAAAATATACCTAACACAACAGTTAGACATTAAAGTAAAACAGACTGTGTGGACTTGTTATCAGTGTTGCAATTGATCAACTTTCCCATTAACTGAAGCATTTTGACATTTCAACATTGTATAGTACAGAACTGAGAGAAGAACAAACAACAAACTACATGAAGGTGATTTGAAGTAGATGACTGCACGTCTTCATTATGAACACATTTCTAAAGTTTGACTATAATATCGGAAACACTGCAAATCCATCAGATAACTTAAAAAAAAAAAATTGATTCCCAGTCTGCTTTTGTATTGCGGTTCCCATGTGAGCTCTAAAACAAAATCAAAATACTTATTTGAGTATGACCTCAATAATAACGGAGCCCACAGGGCAGATTTAATAATGCTCTGCACAAGTAACGGCGTTACCTTTTTCAGTAACGAGTAATCTAAATAATTACTATTCCTATCGTTACAACGCCGTTACTAACAAGAAAATGCGGTGCGGTCGTGTTACTATTTTTCAACAAACAGGCGGCTGAAGCTGTCTTCAGCTTACTGCATCTTATATCAGTTGCACGGAAGTAGCTGTAAGTAATCTGGGCGATAACTTTTTGGCACAACACGAGATAAGGCGGCAAACAATCGCATGAATGCTGCTGTTTGGCTGAGGTTCAATTCAATTCAATTTTATTTATATAGCGCCAAATCACAACAAAAGTCGCCTCAAGGTGAGTAAAACCAGAGTCATGATAAACGATATATACGCG